CTTGAGGCGACACCAAAAAGCTTCACAGCAAGTGTCTGTCTGCGACCGCGATCTCACCTAGAGGAAGCCACGGCCACGTGTCAGAGCAGGGAAGATGGCCGTGGGTTGTATTCGTCACCCGATGTGGAGTTCGCAAATGGAAGCAAAATTTTGCGAACGCTGCTGTTCGCGAACCGAATTGTTTGTGAACAGAAGCATTCGTGAACCAAGGTATTACTGTAATACAAGACACTAAACTAGTTTTAAAGATATTGTTCAGATTCAAATCTGTGTTGAAGAGAAAAAAAGAGAAGGTACAAATCAGCCTGGTGCCTTCCAGAGCTCTTGGATGTCAGCTCCCATAACCCTTCGCCAGCTTAGCCGAAATTGGGGAAGGCTGCTGTGAATGTAAGATTCCTGGGTGGTATTTGTTGATTAACCCTTTTCAGGTAAACACAGGGCCAACAGAGTCAGCTGGCAGTAAAATAAGGACTGCTAGGTGTGGAATATTTTCACTGTTTAGAATACAGTACTGATTTCAAGGGCTATTGGAATATACTTCCCCATTGAAAACACTGGAGAAGAGAGTCGTACAGCTCTCACAGAAGAAAATAACAAGAGCAATTAAAACTTCCGCAGGACTTCTTTCACAGTACTGTATATGGAAGTAATCAAGAAAGTAGAAACATATCCAAATGGTGTAAGATTGTCAGGAATGAACCATGCTTCTTCTTTTCCGGCATTTTGATTCCAGCAGTAAGCGGCAAACAACCCTGGGATACTGATAAACATATACTGCCCTTCCTCTCTTGCTCTGTGCATATTCTGATTCCAATGCTTCAAAAGGGAAGGGAAAAAAAAATGAGGGGCTGAAAACCTGTCAGCATAAAAATGGCTCCTGCTATTCAGTCTGGTTCGGGAATAGTCCCCAAAGCATTGCGGGGGGAAGAATCTGAAGACAAGGAGAGGTTCCGATTTAATTTGCACATAGAGAGAGATGTTGTGCTTAGCCAAGAAAGCAGTGGTTGTATGCCTTCAGCTGAATAAAGGGAAATGAAATTCAGCTGGATTATTCTCAAGAATTTAATGTATATAGACATTACATAATATGTACATGTATGCAGAAAGGAAATAGAATCTGCCTGGAAATCCTGTACCTTTCATTTCCTTTTCTTTCTACTATAATCTCCCATAATATGGACAGCTTATTTCCAGTTTTGCTCTTGAAAACCATGTTCACCTTCCCTCCCCCTGTTTTTCCTCCACATGGAGAGAAAATATGGGAATCCATCTCCAGCAAGGCAGGGAAAATACAATGAGCGCATGTTGAAGATTATTTACTAGTCATAGGGGCAGTTTTGCCTGATTTCAGGGAGGCTTAGGCTAGAAACCAACCAGTGATCGCTCTGCTATCATGTGTTCAAATATTTCTTCATTACAGATGGCTCTTCCCTTTGGCTCCACGTAGACCCTTGCATCTCTGAGAGGTAAATACTGTATAAAGTCCCAGGCTACAAGGTTTTGCTTATTTTATAATATCTTACAGGTATTGACAGGTCCAAAGACAAGGAAAGTGAGGTGAAATAATGGAAAGAAGGTTCCAGATGCCAGACTTCCTACCTGGCAGTCTGGACTGGAAAGGTACAAGAATCTAAGAGCTCTGATGAACAGAAGTGACTGGAGGAAAGGTTATTACAGCACAAGAATTCCAGCACGTATCCTACTTTCAGATGAGACACCAATATATAGGCAATTCAGGGAGGCAAAACCTTTGCCTGTTTCTTCTCACTTTTTTCATGTAGGAGGCCGGAAGCTTGTCTTTTTTTATGAAGGGAAGCAGTCTGTATCTGTCCATTATTTTGACAACGGTCATACCAATCAGTGTGAGAAGTAACTCAAGGACAAACTGTGATTGTTAGCAAGGAATCTATAGAAGGCAAGCATCAGAGAGAGGTATAAGTAAACTTTTATTCAGGCAAAAAAGTGTGTGATTCTATGGACATAATTACTTCTATTTAAGAGTAATTCAGTGTCAGTGGTCTGCCATGGTATACATGTGTACATGCCCACAGAAGGCTTCTCTCAGGGTTAAAATGTGAGGTCTTGAAAATGACTTTGTATTCTAGATATTTCCTCTGATCTTTCGAGACACTGCTTCAGAGCATTACTTTGGTGTCCTTTTATGTCTATTAATGTGTGGCAGAGGGATGGTCATTTATTCCAGATCTCCTAAACGCCCTTCCATTGCTGTTACTTTCTGCAAATGAATCAGCCTGGTTTAAAGAACTGCATGCCGACGGGCCAATCCACTGCTCTCTTGCCTGTTGCCTGTTCAGATCCAATAGAAATTAGAGATACGTTGTTTGCCTGATTTACAGCAGAACAACTGCTGAGGCATGGCAACATGACTTAAAACTAGAGTGTGCAGCAAAAGTCTGGATAACCACTAGATGGCAGGAACGTGTTAACGTTTTCTATTTACAATTGCCAAGGCACCTGCCAAGTTTTCTGCCCCTGCCCCACATTTTTAAATGTTATTTTAATTCAAATATTTTGAATAGGAAACTGACATCCTGCAAAGCTGACATCCTGCTATGTGATCAGGCCTGGGGTTCCCAGGGAACTGGGCGGGGGGCGGGGGGGGGTTTACAATGGCTCCCTTATTAATTTTATCCCCTCCTGTTTTGTGTGTTTTTACTGTTTTTTATATGCAGTTGTTTTTATGTATTTATTTTTTCAAATTGTTGTACGCCGCCAGAGTCACCTTGTGTGAGATAGGCGGCTATATAAAAGATAGATAGATAGATAGATAGATAGATAGATAGATAGATAGATAGATAAATAGATAGATAAGCAAGCACCGCTTTTAGTTTAAAGATTGCCACTAGCCCTTCAGGCATTCTCAGAAAATAAAAAAATGATAAAGGGCTGCAAATAGGTTTTTGCCAACAAGCCCAGGAAAAAATACAAGAATAAAACAGCAAGAGTAAGCTGGAGTGCTAGAGCATTTTAGGAGCCTAGAGAGTAGGGAGCAACCATGCACCACTTTGTCATAGGTAAATAGATATTTGTGATTGGCCATACGTACTATTTTATTACAGGTAACCCTCCCTATTATAGCCATTTCACGCAAATATCAATACCATGCTTTAAAAATTCACATGTATAAATCAATCCCATAATATTGCCTACCACTGATTTATAATATCTGATGATGGACATTTCAAGTCCAAAATAGCTTTCCTTGATCTAAATATGTTTTAATCTTCACATTGAATAGCCACAGGTAAGTGTTTCTGCTCAGTTAAGACCAGCATAGGAGCCAACCTAAAGTGGATAAAAAGCTGGAGAGATCCACCAGTGGGAGAAGCCAGAACCTATATGGACTTTATCTAGTCTGCTTTGTTCTCCTCTTAGTGTACCCATGCGCCGACGACTTGCACAGCGCTTCCCAAGCCGTATTACAACTATTGCTTTCCAAGCTAATGCTTTGCTGCAGCAGATCAGCATCATTGGGGGCAACCAGACTGGCATCTTCATTCATCAAGTCACTCCTGGATCTATTGCTGATGAGATGTCTTTGTCACCAGGCCAGCAGATTGTGCTGGTAAGGCATTCCTACATCTTCATTGTATGTCATGTTCCATGTCTCTACAAGATCCCTAAGAGGCAATGGGCTCTACCAGATGATGCAGTCCTGGCACTAGAGCAACATGACCAGTTGCTAATCACACCTGAGCAGGGCTTTGTGATCTGGGTGCATCTTGGCATTAGTGCCACTTCCTCATTGATTGAGGAAATATAGCTTCAGTTCAATTAATGCAGTTTAAAATTGCAACGTATTGCGACCTTGTGCTTTAAGGGGTAGTCTCCCATTGAAGAGGATTTTGTTTTTTCACCCCAATTCACACCTTGTTGGCTTCCCTTATAGACAGATTCTATCAAAGTTAAGAAAAAGGGTTCAAATGCAGATCGCTGGTAAGCCAGATTACAAGTCACAGGGGTTGAAAGGTAATGTGAGTTTGCCACCATAGTCACTGATAATTAGCTTTTGAAGGTTTTCACTGGATTGGTTATATTCGTAATCTCCTTCTGTTTGTACTGCTTCCCTTCAAATTACCTCTAGGATTTTCCCCTAGAAGCACATATGGATACATGTTCATAAAAAGTGTACTGTACATTGAGAAACCCATGGAACTAGGAGAGGTTGAATGATAGCTGTTTTATTTTCTGGTTTTGAGGAAAGGGGAAAGGGTTTGTTTTAGCCATAGACTTCATGGAATCAGAGGGGGCAGGAGAAGGCAGGCAATTATGGGCCAGTTTGAAAGGGCAACAAACACACTGATTGTGGCAGTTCTCTGTGCTCTGTTCTGAGTCAGAAAGGGACTGTGCTCCCAGTGTTTGGTTGACTGACTAGATGTGCAAATCATCCTAACAGTCAGGATCAGTCTCAAGTGTGTTTTAAACTAAATTGAGAAGAGTAGGGAAACAGAAAGGTTGGTCATCTGGAAAAACTCCATGACTTTGTGTGTGTGTGTGTGTGTAAAGATGACATATTTCCCTTTGGGCACGTTTCTCATTCTAGCCCCATCTCTATCCCCATCCCTGTTTAAAGGAAGAGCCCAAGGTTTTATCAGCTGACATGCAACCAGTGCTAGAGAGAGAAACAAAATAGCAAAAGCAAGCCATTCTAAATGGTGCAGATGGAGGAAGGAAGGTCCTTCCATCATGCCTGCAGCATTAGCACCTAGAACCATCACGGTTGCCATAAAAATTCCATAGCAGTTCTCCAGCAATTCATTAGAGTTTAAGGGCTGGGAAACTGTGATTCCCATACTGGAAAGTCTTGTTGGGCATACTTGGCCTGGGTTAGTCTTTTCCAGTCTGGATACCTTTCCCCTGCACAGACTTTAGTTCCTTGAATTCCCCTGCCAATGTGGCCATTTCTGAGACAGTTAAAGGCCACTCATCTAGCAAGTACCCCAGGTGGGGAAGATTAGTCTGAGTCTTGATGGAAAAAATAAATGATAGCTTTGCTATCATTCATTGGGCTACAGTCACAGCTTCTGGGAAGCTCAAAATCTACTCAGCCAGTCAGAGCAGTGATGGCAAAATGTTCAGGGCGGGATGTATCCAGGCTCAGCACTGAATTGCCTTCTGGATAGAATTTCTACAACTAGCTTGGAACAAATTAATTTATTTGAAAGTAAAGTAAGCCAGAGTTCTAGTTTATTATTAAAGAACAAGCATACTGCTTAACTGCTTTTGCATAGCTTTTTCTGCCAGTGTGAGTGGTTAAACAAACCGGGGAACCACTTCCCATAGTTTGTTTGTTTGTTTGTTTGTTTATATGTCACATTTATATAGCCGCCCATCTCACGCAAAGCAACTCTGGTTAGTTTAGCTTTGTATCTGAAATGTAATCGTTGAGTGTTGGCTTTTGGTTTGAAATTTTGGTTTCTTAGGAGCACAAAGGCCATGAATCCCAGCTCAGTTACCATGCTAAGCAACCCACAGGCAGAAATTCATTGTTCTGCTTTGCTGTTCTTGCTTATCAGAGGATCAAAGTAGGAATGATTGGGCAGGCTGCACCAGTTTGCAGTAGAAGAAGAGAGCCAGTTTGGTGTAGTGCTGAAGGTCCTGGCCTAGAAAGCAGACGGCTGCGGGTTCTAGGCCTCCCTCAGGCATGAAAGCAGGAAGATTAGCTATGTTTGCCATCTTGAGCTGTATATAAAAAAGGTGGGATAAAAATAAAAACAATAAGCAATAGTTCATGAATTATGAAGGATTTAGACTTATTGATACATCCAAACTGGCCTAATCTCAAGGCAGTAGCTGAGAAATTGTCAAAATGAGATTATACTGGGCAGTGAATCATATATTCCATAAAAATGAATGCAACTCCGCTCTAAGCTATATAGCTCAGCTTCCAGCTCCATTGTGGTACCTCCTTCCCTGTCAAGCTGTTTGGTCATTAGACAGTGTCAGGGGAAAAACCTCATTAAACATGGGAGATGGACACACCAGAACATAAGTCACTTCAAAGTCCTAAAAGCTTTATTAAATGTTAGTTCAATAAGCAAGTAAAATTCAACCAATAGCATACAAGGTACTTACTTAGATTCACATTGCAATGAGGACCATCATGAGCAAGCGGTCAGGTAAGACAGCTTGGCCAAGTGGCCCCGACCCCCTTTTTGCAATCCTTTTTATCCTCAAAAACGGCAGACCACAGACATGACTCCCAGGATTAGCAACTGATT